ATCAATGTCTTGAACTTGCTTTCTTATTAAAGCTTTTGGAATTGATGGTGAAGCCAAGCTTTTATCCGGACTGGGAACTATATTCATCAGATGATTTTGCCTTTTCTTATCTTCCCTGTAAAAATTCTCGGGTCAAAAAGTCAGTGAGATGGTTATTTTTACCATTGATGTGTTCAATTGTAAATTCAAACGAGGAAAGGATACGCTGTCATCGAGCAAATATTTATTTTGAGACGAGATTTTTTATGTCTTTCTAAAGAATATCTTTGGCTGCCTTACAATAAGTACAAAAAAAGAACATTTTGCTTTAGTAAGTCACTTTGGAATTTAGCCACACAATGAACGATAGACAATATTTCTTTTTTAACTGCGAAATAGTTCTATTGGAAAGGATTCTAGGTTTTGAAAGTAAAACACACTAATTGCTCTTGCTTCTGAAATTTTTGTTTAAGTATGCCACCTAGTCCTTGTTCTGAAGCATCAATTTCAACAATTTTAAACGTTGTAGGATTAGATAATGCTAAGCAAGACAATTCTTTAGCTTTCAATTTTAATTTTTTGACTGCCATGGTATGCTCATTAGTCCAATCAAGGGGGTTCTTTTTTAACCTTTGAAACAAAGGTTTAGCGTCTAAAACTAGGTTTTTATAAAAATCAGTGATATATTCAGGCAACCGAGATATCGTTGAAGTTTGATTTTATCTTTAATAATATCTGGGAATTTTGATGTAAATTCAATTGCCCTATCAATAGGAATTATTCTTCTTTGATAAATATTTTGTCCAAGAAACCTTATTTTTGTTTTAAAAAGATTTATCTTTTTCACTAATACAACTAACCTAACATTTTTAACAGCTTTAAAAAATGTGTTTAGATGTTTCCAGTGCTGATCTATAGTTTCGGAATAAATAAGAATATTATCAATGTATACAATCATAAATTTGGTATAAGGATTAAATATGTCATTCATGATATTTTGAAATTCAGAAAGATTATTTTTTAAACGAAAAAGACATAATATTCCATTCATATTGTCTGAAGGGAACATTGAAGGCGGTTTTATATCCTTATACCAAATTTAGAGCCAAGTTATATTCAGTGGTGAACTGAAAAACTTTGCTTATTTAGATTTTTGTCAAAAACCTAAAGTTGTTGTGACCCAAAGATCACAGTCAAGCCAGAAAATGACAGATATAAAACCGCCTTCAAGGTTCCCTTCGGACATTATGAATGGAATGTTATACTTTTTTTGTTTAAAAATACTCCTTCTGAATTTCAAAACATCATGAATGACATATTTAATCTTTATACCAAATTTATAATTGTAT